AGTAAAAACCTCACTTCTTCGGATGCATCCGAAGAAGTGAGGTTTTTACTCACGAAAGCTTATGCCCAAATAAATCTGTTAGTCTTCAAGGTGCCACCAGACTCCTTGTTGTTTTTGTAGATACAGACTAACACGGCTACCCCCTGATACTGTTCTCCTTAACCTCTTGAGGATAGGACAAGAAGCAATGGGCTTAAATTGCAGCAAGGGAGGTTTAGGTTGGTGATTAGGAAAAACTTTCTAACTGTCAGGGTGGTTAAGCACTGGAATAAATTGCCCAGGGAGGTTGTGGAATCTCCATCACTGGAGATATTTAAGAGCAGGTTGGACAAACACCTGTCAGGGATCGTATAGATAATTCTTAGTCCTGCCAGGAGTGCAGGGGACTGGACTAGATGACCTCTCACAGTCCCTTCCAGTCCTATGATTCTGTGATACATAATTCCATAGACAGCATATTACATTCCCCCCAGGTTCAGCAGCTTCACCACATTCTCATTTTCTGTCTCTCGAACTCCCTTTCCCTCCCCTAAATCCCTTCACCCTAGTGTTGGATAATATCTGAACATACAGTTTAAATATGCAGCAATTTAAGCAGCTCAGGGCCCTGAGGGACTGAGTACAGGCTCTTGAGACTAGAGTGGCTGAAGGGGAGGAGACAGAGACGAGACTTTCTGGGACACTGTAGTGCAGTTGCATCCCCAGGTTGACAACCTCTGTGCTGTTGAGGAGGATGAAAGTTTCAGGGAAGAACATAAAACTGGATCAGAAGGAAACAATCCCATAGCTGGGACCTTTCTTCAGGTATTGTCTCACACTCAGGATACCCCTCCAGGGGAGGGAACCCCTGTTATTAGGAAGAGACAGGTAACAGTAATGGGGGATTCAATCATTAGAAATATAGCTAGTTGGGTTTGTGATGACCGGGAGAACCATCTGGTGAATTACCTGCCAGGTGTGAAGGTTGCAGATCTCTCGAGACATCTAGACGGACTTATGTGCAGTGCTGGGGAGGAGCCGGTGGTCGTGGTACAGGTAGGTACCAATGACCTAGGGAAAGCTAGAAGAGAGGCTGCTAGGTAAGAGGAGGGGTTTAGGGTTGTTAGGAACTGGGGAACCCTTTGGGAAAGGAGGAGCCTATCCAGGAGAAATGGGCTCAGCCTGAACCAAAATGGAACCAGATTGCTGCATGTGAAATTGAAAAGGTGGTAGAGGAGTTTTGAAACTAATGTCTGTGAGAAGCTGACCGGTGCGGAGGAGCACATGGTTCGGACAGAGACATCCCTTAGGGGAGGATCTCTTCACAGGGATTCTCTGCCCTAGTAAAGGGGAGAGGATAGAAGTTGATAAATTGCAGGTAGGAACTGAAAAGAAACAGTCAAATGAAAGAGTTCGGTTCAGTTACCTCACATGAAGGCCGACAACTAAATAGTGACAAATTTTAGAAGTGCTTGTATACAACTGCTAAAAGTGCAAATAGTGAGCTGGGTGCACTCGAGTGCTTGGTATTAAATGAGGATATTGATATAGTCGGCATCACAGAAATTGGTGGAATGATGATAATCAATGGGGCACGGTGACACCAGGGTACGAACTGTATAGGAATGACAGAGCCGATCGCACTGGTGGGGGACATGACACTGTATGTGAAAGAAAGCATAGAGTCAAATATAGTACAAATCTTAAATGAATCAAACTG